AACACTACAAGGTCAGTGCGACTGTCATGCGAAATACCACCCCAGACCATCACTGATCCGCCATTGAAAGGTTCCTGCGGAGCCATGTTTCTTTCTTGACAACGAGCTCCAGGCTCCCTCCAGACGAGAATACGTCCATCTGACTTATACATACCGATCCTGCTTTCATCTGTAAAAAAAAGCGTCTCCACTGTTCAATTGTCCATCCGGAATGCTCGCGAGCCCATGTCCTTCGGGCTACACGATGAGCCACGTTCAACATGGGGCATTTGAAACGTCTTCGGGCACGTAGTTGCCTATCGTGAAGTCTGTTTCGGATCGTTTGTGTCGAAACTTCAAGTCCTGTAGCATGTCGAAGCTTTCTTGCGCAAAATGTAGGATTGGCTCTTGCCCGTCTAACAAGAAGACGATCTTCCGCTGCTGAAGTTATTCTTGAGAGACCTCCACCATGTGTAATTCGGGCACTACCTGTTGCCAGGAGCCGTTGACTTGCCCTATTAATAACACTCGGTGACACATTGAGCAAATTTGCAATTTCTTTCTGCCCCGTACCATTTTGTAAAAGATTTGCCACAATATCAAACTGCTCTGGAGTTAATCTTTGTAACGGCATTATGCTTTTTTATTGTTTATAAGCAACTGTCAACTTGAGGATTAGTTTGTATACCTACGTACTTGATATCTGCCTGTTTTTAAAGCCCCCTAGGTAAAAATTATAAAAACGCAAATGAAAAATTACGCCATTAATAAAAAAAATCATATTTTTGTACGTACGTCATTAAAAGGAAAAAACTAAAAAAATATTGGTAACACATACCACAGGTTGTAAGATGCAACTTAGTGTAAGTGTACAGGGTGATTAAAAAAACTCCTGGACTAGAGTTAAAAAGAACAAAATTGTAGGACTTTTTTTATCACCCTATATTAGACATATGTATGTTATGACTTAAATGATTTTATCAGTTTATGAAAATAGGAACACTTTTCTTTAAATAAGTAAAAGCTGTTTCAAAATCGGATGACAGTTTATATATATACAATGTGTTTCCTTTTGAGTGTGGACACCTCTGTAACTTTTTATTTATGGACGGATTTTCAAAATTTTTCCAATTATAGAGAATTAAAAAATGAGCGTAATGGGTATAAGCAAATTGTTCAAATCTCAACGTGCCACGATTTAAAAAGCAGACCAAAATTCCTAAAAACCGGTAAGGCATTTTTATATTGTTAAACTGACTAAACCATCGCGTTCAGTACTATCCCAAATGGCTATATTTAAAATTTGATAAAAATCAAGAAATATTTAGTAAAGTTCTTTTTTTCGAAATCACGACAAGTTAGATTAAACTTTATTTTAAAATGACAAATGACAGTTGTCAAAAATGAAATACAATAAAAAACTACTGTACTGAACGCGATCGTGTAGTCAGTTTTACATTAAAAAAATGCCTAAACTGTTTTTAAGAATTTTGGTCTGCTTTTTAAATCTTGGTAGGTTGGGTTTTGAACAATTTGCTTATACCCATTACGCTCATTTTTTAATTCCCTTAAATGGGAAAAAAGTTTTTGAAAATCCGTCCATAAATAAAAAAGTTATTATGATAAATTAAGTAACCCTTTTAACAGTTTAATCGCGATATTACGCATTACGCATAAGCCTAAGCCAATTTCCAGGTAGCAATCATGTCATTAACACGTATTTTTCCTACGAGGACGTCTTGTCCCCAGTTTTGTACGACAGTGTCGACAATGTTAGACAACTAAGGTACCATGCTCCACACATCAAAGTCCAACCACGTGACTTGATTTCATCCTATTTGATGGGACTTTGATCATATATGATATAGTACATCAAGAAGTCGTCATAGGACCACTTTTAATAGTAGTGTATACACTTAGTTTTTAGTCGCATTCAAATTGTACCATGGGCCATGGACACATTAGGTAAAATTATACTATAGTCTAAATTTAATGTGCCATCACATGTGTCTGCAGAGTTGGTCTGATCTGCTTGGTAACGAATAATGTGTAGATAATGTACAAAAAAAATAAGATGTCCTAAAGAATATACAGGACGTCCGTAGGATGTACTATTTTATGTTTTAAACAAATTATGTCATTAGGTCCGCACATAAACATATGTATTAAAAATAATAATAATTTATTATTAAAAGAATGGACGCGTAATGTATATTGTTGTGTTTTGTAGTAAAGTGTGCAAGAAGTGAACCAAAATGTCATTGTCAAAACCTCAGAGCAACGCCAACTCAACAAGTTGTTTTGTGTTTTTTTCTTTTTGATATTAAAATACAATGGTGGTTTGTTGTGCGTTTGGTTTTAAAAATTATATAAGTTACAGTTACAGAAGAAGCCTGCAATAACATTTCACATAATGAATATATAATATATATTATTACTAATGATAACTCAAAATTCGCTTAGGTAATAGATATATTTATTTTATTCAGTACCTTGGTCTTAAACCAGTTCCTGAATAAACAAATATGCGATCTTTCATTCAAAATGATCTTATTATTAATTAAATTATGCATCAAACTGTTGACTAATGTTGACAACGTCAGGTTTCTTCCGGTGGCGTGCATTTTCTTAATTTACAGTGATAAATTACTTGTTGAAACTTATGCGATGAGCTAGGGTTAGTTCAGCGACGCAATTTTTTGGTTCACATTTTGCACATGAGTCAAACCACGTCAAGTGGGACCAGAAAATTTCACGAAATCACCGATTTTGAAAATAATCACATTATTGTGTAGTAGGCATGACTCATATGTCACAGTAAAAAAATTGTTTTAAAATTCGTTTTTTTGGTAATGTTATTAAGGTTGACAATTTTGTCAAACTTTAGAGCACGGTAAAATTGAAAAAATAGAATCTCTGGGACCACTCTGTATAATTGAATTAAATTTTACACACTATTGTAGAAATGTTTAGAGTATATAATGATCATTTAATTAAGGTTAATTTGTTTAAATAAAAGAATTTTGCATACATTTATTATAAACAATTGAAATTTTGTATGTGTTCTTCACGCTGAAAAAAAATTAATCTTGTGTCATAATATGCGGCAAACGTTTCCGTTTAATAAGATGTACTCAAAAATTTGCCTTTCATATGTCATTCTGGAGATATTAATTTTTTTGTCCCGCTGTGCGCTTGATCAGTACGCGGCGCGCTTCGCTGCTAGCTCGTCCGTTCGAACGGTTTAACTGTGTGCCTGAACGAAGTTTAAGTCACATAAAAATGCCGCCAAAAACTGATTGTTGTTTCTTGTTCGGGACCCTTTGTTGACTTAAAAATGATATTTACCAAAGTTCTAGCTGCTCCTCTTTTCGAAATTGTTCGAAAATTCATGATTTTTTTTTTAAATTTTTGTTTATCTCTTTGACAGAGTACACATTTGCACACGGATTTTTATAAAATTGAAGTATATTATTTAGGAGACTATTAGAGAATATTTTTTAATACTGTTCACATCATTTGATATATACAGGGTTAGCCAAAAATCACTTATTTTTAATAATGCATACGCGTAAATTCATGATTTTAGCATAACACCCGAAAAATATTTATTCCCAATTTTTTTTAGATATTTCTAGGTCTATCAGGTTACAAAATGGCATTATTATTAACCTTTTACAAGAAAACTAGATTTGTAATAACATTTAATAAAATAACGCTTAGAGAGTATTTAAAATGTTGTTTAATTTAGGCTTTTGAGTAGTTTTCAATTTTGAACGAAAAATTGGTTGAAGTTAAAAAATATATTTACCAAAATTTTAACTGTTTTTTTTTTTTAATTTCTAAAATTCTAACTGTTTTTTTTTTTTAATTATTTGTTTATCGCAAAGTCTACCTTTGCCAGAGTACACATTTGTACACCGATATTGTAAACGAGAGAAACTGTTTTTATATATATGCTTAGATTTATACAGGGTTAGACAAAAATCACTTTTTTATATAGTAAAAAGCATAATGCATAAAAAAGATTTTTCAAAAAATTTCGAAAAGAGGAGCAGCTAGGATTTTGGTAAATATCATTTTTAAGTCACCAAAGGGTCCCGAACACGAAACTGCGGAATTTTTATGTGACTTAAACTTCGTTCAGGCACACCGTGTGCTGACGAGCTAGCAGCGAAGCGCGCCGCGTACTGATCAAGCGCACAGCGGGACAAAAAAATTAATATCTCCGGAATGACATATGAAAGGCAAATTTTTGAGTATATCTTATTAAACGGAAACGTTTGCCGCATATTATGACACAAGATTAATTTTTTTTCAGCGTGAAGAACACATACAAAATTTCAATTGTTTATAATAAATGTATGCAAAATTCTTTTATTTAAACAAATTAACCTTAATTAAATGATCATTATATACTCTAAACATTTCTACAATAGTGTGTAAAATTTAATTCAATTATACAGAGTGGTCCCAGAGATTCTATTTTTTCAATTTTACCGTGCTCTAAAGTTTGACAAAATTGTCAACCTTAATAACATTACCAAAAAAACGAATTTTAAAACAATTTTTTTACTGTGACATATGAGTCATGCCTACTACACAATAATGTGATTATTTTCAAAATCGGTGATTTCGTGAAATTTTCTGGTCCCACTTGACGTGGTTTGACTCACATATCTATCTTATTACGCTTCCCCTCTCTTTCCTTGTCTAAGGGTCCGGACCGTCATTTTTTGGTAGATTATGGCGTCATTTCCTGACGTTATCAGGGTCTAAAATTGAGCAAATTATGAGGTCAATTCGACGAACTACTGCTACCTGGGTGGTATTACCATTGTTTTTTTTTTAAACAATTGTATTACTTGGTATTTTGGTTTATTACCTTTCTTTAAGGCCATTACCTACAAGTACACATTTGGTTTAACATATAAAATTAAAATTATTTCATCATGACTGTCCACCCACAGAAACAACATTTTTAAAACACAATGTTTTATATGAAAAGACTAAAGACAAACCTCCAAAATCCCTCTAAACGTATCGACAACATCGGTCATTTCAGTCAATTCTTTAATTTTGTCGTCTCGTACCGGAGCACAAAGTTTGCTCATTATACCAATGACAAACTGAGCATACATCTAAAATAATAAATTTTATTGTGTTGTACGAGTATTTCTGTTTTTTTTATACTTACGCGAAAATCAATGACTTCCTTTTCAGCTTGTTGTTTTATTAACTCTGAATCCAAAACTTCGGTAATTTGTTGCCTAGTTTTTGTGTGTTGTGGTAAAAGAAGTGAATATAAACCTTGTTTAACATCCTCAAGAAGAACCAAAGCCTGTAAAATTAAAACAGGTTTTTTATAAATAATTATCATATTTGTAAAAAAGCGGAAGCTTACTGCCTCGAAACTAGCAGCGCCTAAATAAAGTTAAATGTGTTTATACGGAAAAATATGTATCACGGTAACTGTCGTAATGCAATAAAATCTCCCATTATCACATTACATTTTTTATTAAATAAAACTAATCACTTAAGCTAAATTTTCATGAATCCGTTTGTTCGTTTTTCAATAAAATCGTCCGACAAGAAATGTTATAATTTTCATGCATCCGTTTTTTAATGACGTTTAAAGCTAAATTTTCATGTATCCGTTTGTCCGTCAGTCCGTTCATCCGGGAGCGCTCTTATTGGTCCAATTATAATTCGAAAATTATGACATTTTATCGGTCCGTCAAGTTTCAACTTCGTACGTCTGACAGATAAAAGTTATAGTTATTTACGATATAAGTGGGATAAGAGCTTTATTAACGTACGCATGCGATATTTGCCCAACGAGTGCGTAGCACGAGTTGGGCAATCGCAAAAGTACGTTAATAAAGCGTTATCACACGTATATTGTACAAATTTTTATCTACGCCTCTAAATGAAAAAATAAACGTTAATTATTTTTGTCTAAGACTTAATTTAGGGTTATTTTGACATTTTGACTTTTTTATTTGATTGGTTAAAAGCAGAGAAAAACGTGTGCGTTAATGAACTTCTTATCTCACTCAAAATGAGTGGGATAAGAAGTTCTTATCTCACTGGCGTAGATAATAGTTATTTACGATATAAGTGGGATAAGAGCTTTATTAACGTACGCATGCGAAATTTGCCCAACGAGTGCGTAGCACGAGTTGGGCAATCGCAAAAGTACGTTAATAAAGCGTTATCACACGTATATTGTAAAAATTTTTATCTACGCCTCTAATTGAAAAAATAAACGGTAATTATTTTTGTCTAAGACTTAATTTAGGGTTATTTTGACATTTTGACTACGCCAGTGAGATAAGAACTTCTTATCCCACTCATTTTGAGTGAGATAAGAAGTTCATTAACGCACGCGTTTTTCTCTGCTTTTAACCAATCAAATAAAAAAGTCAAAATGTCAAAATAACCCTAAATTAAGTCTTAGACAAAAATAATTACCGTTTATTTTTTCAATTAGAGGCGTAGATAAAAATTTGTACAATATACGTGTGATAACGCTTTATTAACGTACTTTTGCGATTGCCCAACTCGTGCTACGCACTCGTTGGGCAAATTTCGCATGCGTACGTTAATAAAGCTCTTATCCCACTTATATCGTAAATAACTATTAACTCATCCGTCACTACACATCTGTTTTTGACGCCTAACGTTATTTTAAGATAATTTATTTTCAAATATTTTTATAGTTTTTCAATAAGATTGTAAAACGGAAATATTACGTTCGTTATGTGAATAATGTTTTACTGTTAAGTTTTTATTTAATAAGAATAACGGAAAAAAAGAAAGGACAAACAAAAAAAATTAAAACTAGAACTAAAAGGACCTGCTTTTTTAAAACTATATAAGTATTTTAATGTATATTAGGGCTAGTATATTCTTTTTATAATAAATTATATTTACCTACCTTTAAATTTATTAGACAGCTAACTGTTAAAGTTACAATTGTTGACATAATTGTAACTATGACAATTAAGCATTAGGTAAATTTAGTAAGTGAATATACTGACACTTAATTTCTATTTGTCGCAAAATCAATCCGTTAAACGTCATTAAAAAACGTATGCATGAAAATTAGAACATTTCTTATCGGACGATTTTATTGAAAAACTGACATACGGATGACGGACAAACGGATACATGAAAATTAAGCTTAACGGATTGAACGACGACAAATAGAAATTAAGGACCAGTATATTCACTTCACTACATTTTCCTAATGCTTATTCTCATAGTTACAATTATGTCAACTTTAACAAGTATCTGTCTAATACATTTAAAGGTAGGTTATAATATAATGTTAAGTTTTTCTTTGCAGTTTAACGTTCTGTATTAAATTTAAATTATACCGAATTACTGTTCAGTGATTAATAAAACCTTTTATCCTAATTCAAAACGCAGTGCCCTCGTAATCGAGAAATTTATTCACCGCCTACTCGAATGCGTTGCCGGCGACGCTTTTATCTTACGATTTCAAAGTGCCGTCTTTAAGTGAATCTTCTGTTTGTTCGGTGGTAAAAATGTATTGGAATTGAATTAAATTAATTAAGAAGTCAAAAATCAAATAGTATACTTAATATCCTGATAATATACTGCAGCCTATACAATAAAAAATTTACCCTATACGCTAAAGAAGTATCGCTAGTAGCGCCACCACTCGGCTGTTATCATCGTAACAAAAGTACAACTTTTAATAATCAGCTGTCAAACGCTCATGTTACAATCGAGTGTTTTTGAAAATAAAGCCGAAAAAAGTTATTAAATATCGGAAAAAAGCGATTTCGATTTCGAGAGGAAATCCTGGGTTGACTTTTTAACGGTTTTCCAATAAACAGTGTTAATCCGAATGAAGAAGTAAATTTCATACAGTCCCTGTAAATATAAATTGTATCTATTAGATACAATAAATACACATTTTAGTAATGAATAATAATAATAATAATAAATGAACTTTATTGCAAAAAAAAGTTAACACAATTTCTTACAAATGGCCATTGACCGAGGTCCTTCAGCCGGTAAACAAATCCTGAGTATATGTAACAAAAAAAAAAAAAAACAGTATATAATCGTGAAATTGAAATTAATTAATTAGTATGTTATCTCGTGTTTGTTTAAGATGTTCCCATATGGTCTTCTCTGGGTGTTTGAACTTCCTGTTGCCCTGTACCTCCAAACACAACTCGCTCAGAATGTTGTAGTTAGCGTCCTTGCTAATAAAGTTTGTAGATAATTTGATAAATCTATCCATAATTGGTAAGATATTGTAGGTAGCATACAAAAGGTCGTTGGGAGGGTTGTGTAGAGAATTGGTTGGATGTCTCATTTTGGAGATTTTTCGGAGTGATGAGGTTTCCCCGGTTTTAATTTTGCTTAAGGCTGGTTTCCGGGCATTATTAAGTAAGATGCATCCATATTCCAGGATTGGTCTGCATATTAAGGTGTATATTCTTTTTTTTGTTTCATCATTGATGCCTTTTTTGTTGTATGTAAGTCCTCTAAAGTGGCTGGCCCTTGTTAGTGTTTTCTTCTTTGACAGGGAAGAGTGAAGATTAAAGTTTACTTTATTATCCAGTGTGATTCCCAAGTATTTTACGTTAGATTTTGGCTCTATTATGTCATTGTACATCTTAATTGTTATATTAGGGTTAATCTTGTTTTGGTGGAAGTGTATTAGTTGAGACTTTAGTGGATTTGGTTTTAGTCTCCATTTGTTAAACCATGCCAAGATTTGATTTGACAGAACTTGGCGGTGTCATCTGCGTATTGAAGTACATATTTATCTTGGTCAAAGAGCATGGGATCTTCATAGTGGATGTCGGCACAATAAAGGTTATAGAGCAGAGGGGAGAGAGGGGAACCCTGGGGCAGTCCTTGTTTGGCTATGAAGTTTCTTGAGGTTTTATTGTTTATTGATACCTGCAGACTCCGGTTATCTAAAAATTTCATAAGTATTTTTAGGATGTTGTTTGGGCAATTTAGCTGGTGCAGTTTGTATAATAACCCTTTATGCCAGACGCTATCAAATGCCTTGCTGATGTCTAGGAAAAGTGCCGTGGTTTTTCTTCCCATCAAATGTGAAGTTTGTATATTATTAATAAGTATTGTCAGAGGATGAATGGTTGACTTATTCTTCTGGAACCCAAACTGATAGCGAGGAATCGTGTGTCCTATTGCTTCTGTAATTCTGTTGCATAAAATGTTTTCGAAATTTTTGGCCAAGTTTGTCAGGAGAGTTATCGGTCTGTAGTTTTTTACTTGGGATTTATCGGTGTTGGGTTTTGGAATGTTTATAATAATGCCAGTTTTCCACTTTTCTGGAAAATATTGGTTGTTTAAGCAATAATTATATATTCTCAGAATTTCCAAGTGTGTTTCGTAGTCTAGTTGTCTTAGTAGTTTCTTGGTAATCCAGTCGTAGCCTGGAGCTGTGTTTTTCCTTTATAAAGGATATTAAAATATTCCTCCTCCGTAACGCTTTCAGCTGTCAAAGGAAGGTCTTCTTCTTTGAAGTTGGCATACCATTGCGAGACCTCATTATAGTGGGCTACACAGAAATTTGCATCAATACTTTCTTTATAGGTGTCTTCTAAATAGTCTGCAAAGAGTTCAAGTTTTTCGTTAGTTGTTTCGTATGTTCTGCCGTTGTCCACCAGGGGTGTATTAAACTGGTTCGAAGTGCCCTTATACTTAGTTAGTTTACTAATTTCTTTCCAGTAAGTTCTTCCATAGTTTTCTTGGATTTTTTCACAAGCTTCTATCCATTTATGTTGTCGATATTGATGAATTAATTTTTGAATGTCCTTGTTAAAAGTATTTATTTCTGTTTTTAATAGCGGATCTCCCAGATTTTTGTATTCTCTATAAAGTTTTCGTTTCCTTTTTATTAATTTTAGGATAAAGGGTGGTAATTTTTGGGTGTAAAATTTGATTTCTTTTTTGGGAGTATTTTCCATAACTGCATTTTTTAGAGTTTCAAGAAAGTTGTCTATGTGGAGCCTGTCCATATTTGGTTTGGATGTTAAAAAGTTGGCCATATTACTGTTGACAATTTCTATATTGGTTTTATCAAATAGCCATATTTCGGGGGTGCGGTAAGGATGTTGTGTAATGTTGTTTATTTCTATAAGAAATCCCAGATGGTCAGAACACAGATCAGGAACAAAGTTATTTTGTCAATGTTATTTTTTAAATTTTCAGAATAGAGGATGATATCTGGTGTACTATCAGTATTATTGGCCATGAGAAAGGTGGGGGCTGTAGAGTGTTGTACAAAGTTGGTATTATTTGTAAATGTTGATAATTGTTTTT